ATTTTTTCCATATATTCTCTGTTGGTTCTGGTAAATATATATGTTCCATATGTCTGCATATCGCTTCACAGACTTCGGTTACGATTGCACTCACTGTTGTAAAGCCAACTCGAAAGCTATGCCCAATGGTATAGAAGGTGTCACCAGTGGCAAGGAATCTATAAAAAAAATCGTTTTTTTTGCCAAAACGTCGTCTAATGTGAAAGATATTGACGTCATACATTATGAGACTGCCAAATTTAACTCAAATATATATCAGGAAAGGGCTGGAAATGTAGAAACCCGAAAATTTGGAAGACCGCGGCCATGGAGAAGATGAAAATGCTGATGTAGATGCTGAAGATGCACAGACCGCCTCGGCAACACAGACAGCACCACCTTCTTCATTGAACACTACAGCAGTGACTACTCCAGGGCACACCTTTCCGCAGACTGCAACTACACCAAAATATAAAACGAGCAGAAAACGCTATGACCACCATCTTCGTCTGTACAACATCTCATTAATTATTTTGAAGGTAAAAACCTAAAAAGAGAACGAGGCCATTGATTCACTTTTCTTGGCACATGCACAGACTGTGAAAACACTTCCCTTAAAGCGTCAAGCCCGGATAAAACTAAAAATAGCCGAATTAATAGCGCACGAAGAATTTGAACATATTGAAGAAATGTCTTCAGCGTCTACCCAGAATTCTGCAAGTATGTATGATAGTAGTATGTCGTCCTTCCCAAGTGGCACTGGGTTTACTCCAATAATATACCCAACAGAGGAGGCAAATTCTGCCTCGAATTATTTAGCAACATTTAATCCTAGTGACAACATGTAGTCCAATTATTACAATAAAATATTTATTTCACGATCCCTGAAGTTTTCGTATTCGATAAGCCTACTAATTTTAATACATATAATTTTTTTACCTGAGTGTAATAGCAAGTCGTTCTTCTGGCGAAATAGTTTCACGATAATTTGTGTCAGATTTTCGTATTTCATCTTTCACCAAGTTCAATATTTCATCGAAACACTCTGGAGTCATTCTAAAATATACGTAAAAGCGCTGTTCATCCAGCCGAAGTTGTGGCATCAAGGTATGGTATTCCCCAAATTTATTTCGTTCCAAGTTAATATCATGTACCCACTTCCTTCGTTTCCTAAACGAAATTGAAAATATTTATTTTATGTACTTCGTTAAACTTAATACATAACCAACTATCAAATGGCGTTAAATAAACATAACTTACCGTGCATTTTGTTCCTCTTCTAAAGCAAGAAATAGAAGTGCCTCCTCTTCTTCTGAAGACGAGCTCATTGCAAAAGGCAAAAATAAAATGTACGCAACCTGTCGAAACCTTCACGTTCGCGGAGCGAATAAGACGCTTTGGTATGAATAAACAGGCGAAACTGATTGCGAATTTCGCTCTGAATTTCGTTGCGAATACTTCGCCGCGATTATTTCGCGCCGGTTTGTGGGATGCTATATTTCACCAGTCGAAAATAATTCGGGATTTAATAATCTCGGATAGGTTTAAAATATATCGCTGCAACATAGTAACTCACTGTGGTCCTTGTGCCTTGAGGTCATCATTATTATATCCTCACATTTCACATATGACTTTTGGAGTTGTTTGTTGTTGTTGATGTGGTGTAAAAATGTCTTAAAATTGCGGCTAATCCAAATGTAAAGGGAAACGCGATCCAAAAGTGAAATATGAAGATAAGAGTTGCCTGATAGAGATAGTCAAAAAGTTCTTCCACATGTCTATGAAAGAGTCCAGAATATCTGGAGTCGCAGCCTTGGATAGTCTGAATCGCTGCAAAGTCAGTGAGTGAGCTTTTCATTCACGTATCCATTGTGGGCGTCTTCTTTCTCACTTTTGTCTTGATACGCCATATTATATAATCCCCTCAATGCCATTTTGTTCAAAGACAATATTGGAAACGATAACATTTTTCTAAAAGACACTAGCCAATATAAAGAACAGATCACCTGTCTATTAAAATACATTTTTAGCACCTCAGTACCGATTGCCGGGTGGCGGTACAAGTCCGCCAACGGGCCACTTCAGGTCTATTTAATATCATTAACATGCAAAAAGAAGCTGGTAGACAAGAACCAGTCGACCGAGGCGGTACCACCCGCCATCTTTTCCCAGGGCGGTCTTATAAATGACCTAAGCTACGCGGTCGGTTATCTTCCCCAACAAGAAATTAATGATGATGGATCCCCGAGTACTAAGAATTCTGGACGTAAACTCACTTCACTCTCGGCCAGATTGCGAGGTGCACTCCTCTCTGAGAAAGAACGTGGGAGTTGTGGCATTTGTCCGCAGTAGTCTTTCCTGTTCCAGAGACGTTTCTTTGGAATCAGACCGCAAGGACATTCTGTGGCTTCGCCTCAACTCCAACATATCCTCCAAATTTATTTGCTGCTTCGATCGCTCTCCCTCGGATCATAATTGGGATGACGTACTTGAATACCTTGTCGCCCAGATCGACTTCCTGAACATCAATCACCCCGCTTCAGAGGTAGTTCGACTCGGCGATTTCAGTGCCCATAATGATCTTTGATCAAACGAGACCGATGCTGCAGGTCGTGAAATTGAAGCGTACGCTCTTACTCAAGGGCTGACCCAGCTGGTGACGAGCCCTACTTTTTTCCTCCGCGTCTCGTCACATGCCAGTCTTTTCTCGATAACCGAAATTATCCACATCGGGGTGGAGTAATACATGCCTAACAGATGGTTCAACAAATCATGCGACACTGCTCCGTAATTTTAAAATCCCAAAACCCCACAAAACTCAACGAACGACATTATGGTTTTTGTTCGAAGCAGTTGAATTAGGATAAAGTGCTGTGTTAGCTTAACGTGCATTTTTCAAAAGAGCTTAGGTGCATGCATCACAAATTTTGTTTACATGTAATTCAAGTGAGCTACCTTGTTCAGACACTATTTCTATAAGATTTTAAGCTAGAGTTTCTAAAGGATACTGAAACTCAAAATGTTAAACGGCAACGTTCTATCCTGGCTAACTCTCGCCTTCGACAAATAAAGATTAGAACCGTAAAACTCTGGTTCCTATTCATCTTTAACGGCCTCTTCTTCAGCATATTTCTCTGCTTCCTCCTCTACATCCTCTTCCTTTTTGTCCAGTTTCGCTTCTTCTTCTTCTTCCTCTATGTTATCACCTTCTGATGTCTCTCCATCATCTTCGGTAGTTACGTCTGCAGGTATATCCCCCAAGTTTTCATCTGTGTCTGACATCTTTCATTATGTCTTTCAATTGATGACAGTTCCCTTCTGATTTCAATAATCTGAAGACCAGTCACATGTAGGTTAGTTGTTTGGTCGATGCGAGCAACAGCATGCACGGATCCAAAGAATATAGGTCAGTCGACTTGGCATTGTTGAAAATCCTTCAGATCGATTCTTTTTTTGATTTTTGTAGTATTTCAATTTTGTTTATAAAAGCAAGTCAAGTTGCTTGTAATAAAGGTATTTGGTTGCTGACTTTGTTGTTTTTAAGTATATGTTTTTTGTAAAGCTTCGATGGCAATGCATCCATTTAAAAAAAACTAGGTGCGGGTCCTGCTATGATTGTACAAGTGTTTTTTTCGAAAATCACCGAAAATTACGGTCAACAGGCCAACAAAAATACTAGCCCAAATTTTTTATTTCTAAAAAGAGCATACATATGCAGTAGCATAATGAAAAGTATTGACAATGTAGGTTTTACAAAAGCTGCCAACTTTATATGAGCTTTTGAGGAATAGTGCCGTATTTAAAAACTGTAGAGACGTAATATTCGCAATTTTTTACTAGATTACATTACCAGGTATTTACATCTTAAAAGTATGTCCCCGTGCCGCTAGTGTCTAATTTTTTTTCAAATGGTTAGCAATTTCACTTATTACTTAGTACAAGGAAAAACGTTCTACGTACTCGTATAAATAGATCTAAAAAATGGTAATAATCATTTACGATCGATTTTAGGCCGGGACCATGTTTTACTGAATATCTGGATATAACAACAAGTAGGTAACATTGTGCAGTTTCTTCTCCCTATGTCGTTCTTGCTGTGTAATAGTTGCGTATATACTTAATGTTTTTTTAATAAATGTAATCACTATATAGAACTTTATGACTGCGTTCAAACTGCTTCTTGGAATCTCATTTTCTGGAGACTAACTACTGCACTAACGAAAAAACAATAGGCGACCAATACAGTTTTATTATAATGGGATGACTCGGAAAAATTCAAAATATACCTTATGTATATCAGGTAATTCTATTTTAATATTCTACATGAATAAAAACATTCCCATTGAGGTTTTCCGTATTATATACTTTTATCGGGCAAGTTTGAGATTGTGCATTGTGCGATTCATTTCTATACACTATAATTTTCCGTATTTTTCAAGAAGTCATAAATGCATTTATTACAATAGCTAATATGTATTTCTATAAGTGGTTCCTAAACTAACAAAACAGTTTAGTAAAACAGGAACATGTTTGCTATTTTCAAGCAAATTAGCTTAATAGTATATTACTTTCAATTAAACTGGTCCCAGAAAAATCTTTTTAATTAAGCCAAACGATTCAGCAACTTAGAATAATTTAAAAATTCATTATGGGTAATGAAAATTTTCCAGGAAAACTGTTTACTTGACCACGTTATCTCAGTGTACTATTACGGTATGACTCTCTGGTATTGTATGGGCACATGGGCAGTAAAAAGAACAACACAAGCGGTTGTCTTCATATTTTGTGATGTAAAATATGAACTTACTCAAATCTAGATGTGTTTTCGATAAAAATTAAGATTTTCGTTGAGAAAAAGTATGTGTTCCAGCTTTGTGCCATAAATTTAGTTTCGAGTTGGACCGTCTCGGGTTTAGTTCGGTGCTAATGTCGAACGACCGATCAATGAGCGAACGCAATCGAACGCCAACGCCAACTTTGGAAACCATTGGCTTACGAGTATGTCGGCTCGCGCTGTTATATTCGAACACCTCCAAATCTGTAACCACATATGTGCCTTGGCTTGCGTTGTAATCGCGGCCTGTACGCGGCTTTATAGTTACAGTATTGGTTGCAAGAAATGTTAACGTATTCGAAATATTGGTAGGAGATACGAGTAATATTCTATTGAAACTTGGTTCCAGTAGATAAGAAATACAAAACGTTAATAAAATTGACATCGATATTTGCGATTATGGCAACAAATGAATGGGAAAATACTACATGGTCATTTGAGTGCTCATAAATAACATTGATCCATTTCGCAAGACTCATATTTGGTTGAGATTATCTAATTATGTGATCAACCACTTGAAAACTATTATTTGAAGAATGGTACCTGATTGAATTTCAGTATCTGGTTTATAATAATGTTTATCAGTTGTATAGACTAGTAGCTGATGTGTTTTTTTTAGATTGGTAGAAGAAGTCGATTCAACAATAATCCAAACTCGGGATTTGGTCTACTGGACAGACAGACAGGCCGATAAATAGAATCCAAGAAATACGTTGTTCTAACGTTTTTTGAAATATCGCATTTATTTTCTACACCTATTGGCGAAGAAGTATTGTAAATGGGAGTAATGCCGAAAAGTGACATTTCTTTTGATGTTACTTGACATTGTGCATTATAAAAAATCCATGTTTCCGTCGGATTTTCTGTTTGGCCGGCAAGAGTCGACACCTCAATAACTCGATTTTGGTGAGACTTTAACCCAACGTTATCACCACAGCAGGCCGGGAAAGCTTTGTGAGCATAGTTACGGGCGGAAAACGAGACAATTATAATCACTGAAACTTCGAACGTTTTAGAAACTCTTGCTCGTTTCTAGAATTTTTGTAGGAGTACGAAGTGGGGCATTGGTGGGATAGGTGGTTATAAATGTTGAATTTTTGGTATGAGTGCAAGGCGTTCTATTATTTAGGTGCTTCTGCATACGGTAATATAATAATATGTCCGTTGGACATAACAGTTACACAGAATATTTTTTGGTCTAAACATTTAATTAGCAAAAACTAGATATGAGTTTTGTTGACTTGATACAAGGATTGTTCATCACAACTATCTTCAGCATGCGTACGCAATTTAACCGCTATCAATACATTTTATTGAATTTTCAGACACTACTACGAAAAATTTGCGGTAAAACAGCATCGGAAACGTAATAAGGAAATTGAAGAAAATGCTGACTATTTATTTGGTACGAAATTTTAAGAACTGCCCTGTCACATGTTTTGTTTGTAATCACTGCTTTTTTTAATGGCACTAGGACTATGTCCCATTAACCAGATACTTTTTATACAATAGGCTACATCACGGATCGCAAAACAAGCCGTGAGGTGGCTGACAAAAATCACTTCTCTAACTAATAGTGAGGATAGGATTAGACAGCGATACACCCTTCTCGCCTAAGGGCCCATTAAGGCATTTTCAGAATATGACACACAACAATTACGCCACGGTTAGGTAGGTGAATTACAGAGGATAGTTACACAGAGGATATCTAGCTAATCAAACTAAAATTTAAGCGCAGAGATTTTTAAAAGTTCAATTATCAAGCATTTAACATCAAAGATGAAATGTGAAGAACATTAAATGGTCTAATAGGCCGAAGCCAATTGAATTATGGTAGAGCGATCACATTATGGTGAACACTTTAAACAGCCTAAAAATAGATGATCCAAGCTCCCCTCAACGTTGCAGTGTTCACATAAGTTGGAATCGATAATATAGAATCCAGCAAGATGTGTTGGATAAGCACCGTGTCCAAGTTTTGCTCTAATCACTGCTTTCAGTTGTCGCTATTCGATTCATAAATTCGAGTTTGTGACTTCTCCTAAATTTGCAACGTTTCAGGCTGTCTAGGTCTTCTACAATGTCCACCCAGGCGGTTTTTGCACGATTGTAAGAATGCGGTTGTTTACAGACTAGGTTAACCTACACATCGCGCGACGCCTGATTTGTATACTGACTCACATAGTCATAGAACCACAAAAACATCGTACCATCTGACATAGGACAATATGTATACCGGTTTCCTTGGTATATGTGTGCAAATCTTGCTTATCATACCCGACCTACATGCTCTATAAGTCCGAATGGGACATCCTGTATATATTAGGTGGTCTACCGGTAGGGCAGGGGAACGAATGTCTTTAGACTAAATGTCCAGACCTCTTAGACAGACTTTTTTTATAGAGAATCTAGCTTGTGCTGAACATAATCCTTCATGAACTAGTGTTGCGTGGAAAGTGCAGAGTCAACCTACTTGACGACATTTTTTTTCCTGGACATAACGATAAAGAGTCCATCTATCATTCACACGATTACGAAGGGTCAAAGTCAAACTGGCACAAATTGATTCTATGCATTTATCAAAGCTAAACAAACAATACGCATAGTGCATGAATATTTAAACACTTCGGGGGCGGAGGAAATTGATAATGGAGCTAAGTACCTAAAAGTGCGCATAATCCTCTTCGTAAGCACAGCAATTCAGGCCAGTTTAACTGGTCACAGTCTTGTTTGACGTTATTGTAATCATGTGGCGTATATTTTTCTGAGAGGGTTTTTCCAATTAAAAACCGAAGACTTCCTCCTAGCCTAAACATACAAAACGATAAAAAAACGTGAAATATGTAAAGATATCAGTTCGGAAAGTATGGCGGGACTAGTTGCACGAGTGTTGGTTTTAAGTGTTCTTGGCCTATTGGCAACTTCGGAAGGGAATGATGAAAAAGATGAACTTGTCGCTACAGCACTGGTAAATAGATTTATATGTTTTTGAAACTAGTTAGTTATAATATTATAGATAATTATAAATTTTAAGCCACAATGTTGTCATCGAAACGATAGCTGCAATGCAGTAAATATATGATAATTTTAACATGTGCACGTGTAGTTTTAAATGTGCTCTTAGATAATGCTTTGCACACGCCTAGACACAAATTTTAATCTGAAAAATGTCTTTTGAAAAATCTTATTGGTATTTCAAAATATTTTGAAATCTATATATCTTCTTGTTTCAAACCTAATTCAAGCCATAGCTATGTAAAGCTGATTAGTCTATAAATAGCTTATGCAAATGGTATAGGCAATACAATAACTACGATTATAGAAAGTTTCTCATATTACACTCACAGGTTGCAAACTTGATTTCAGCTTTTCAGACATGGTGATAGAGGTCCGCTTGAGTCTTTTCCAAACGACAAATATTTTGATAAGAAGTATTGGCCAAAAGGTT